CAGATGAACAAACAAGCAAACAGATTAGGGACTGTTGGGTTTACCTCCCAGAGGTGTTTTCATATGTGCCAGCTTATAATAGGAGAAAAAAACACATACAACAATGGAAGTTTTTATTGTTTATTATTGTGTTTTTTAATTTATTGTATAATATCTATGGGTTAACTTTACCAAGTACCCATTGGTAGAAAACCACCCAACACAAGGGTTGTTTTAATGACATTTAATTATGCAGAGTGAGAGTTAAAGAACAAACCTAACACAGTAGGTTTACCTACGTCACTATACTGTAGGTAACCACAGTAACCAGTAGTGTATCCAGCACACAAAAGAGTGGATTTCACGACTGAATAAAGAAAACTTGTCTTGAACGACCGATTTTCAAATCAAAACATCATAAAAGCATTCTTGCATTCCTGCAGATGGAGCACAGAAAGCTGCATGTGGCTGTGAGATGTGACGACGTTTCCTGGTCTGGGAAATACTTTCAAATAGCTACATTTTGAGACTACTGACATGCCTGACAGGAACATGAGGGCAGTGGTTTAGAGTTTGGACTAGTGAATATAAGTGAGAGAGCAGCACTTGCCTTTTACCTCATCACCACTGCTGATGAGCTCTTGTGCAAGGGACTGAGGCCCCTGCTGGTCCAGTGTGGCTGATTACTCAGTGGCCATCATTCATGCTGAGCTCTGTGAATGTACTGTGGTTGTATAAAAGGTTCAAAAGTTCATCTTCCCTGCATGCGATGTAGATTAACTTCTGATCTTTTTGGCTCAATCACTCAAATGAAACATCAGCTAAAGTCAATGATGTTGTGGCCTTTGTACCGTGAAATCCCATCATCGTTCTCAGCTTACTGTGGCCTTTAGGGACATCAAAGCCCAATGACATAAAAATACGATTTAAGAAATAGGCCTACAACATAAAAAAATGCAAATTTGACTATCAACATGAAAATATTATTATATTATATCTCCTTTCCACTGAGCTCATATCCTCTGGAATCTATTTTTTTCTGAGACACTGGGAGTTTTTTGCAAGAAACTACATATTGTGAGTATTTAATTTGGTGATTCCAGTATTTTTTTTATTTGAGCATGTTTAAATTTGACTATAGGTTAAATTTAAACCGACAAAATAAATTCACAGATAAATGATTCCCTGCCCCAGTCATTTGAATAGGCTACAAACATAGGATAAATACAAGCTATTAAAAAATCTTAGTGTCTTGGTGTCTAGTCAGAATTTCCTGGTAGGAGATGAGGGCCAGTAAGACCTCAGTATTTCACCCCTGGCTATATCCCTGCATATTTATTTCCCCAGTAGAGCCACTTAACTCTGGTGGTTATGTCTCACAGCAATAGTGTGATGGCACTTGAGATACATGAGCAGGATGGTGCCACAGGTCGTTCTCTGCAGCCTTCTGAATACAGTGCACCACTTATTTCTGTTTGCCTCATCTTCAGTGTTTTCTCATGCTGTGAGAGAGGAATTTCGCAGCGCACAGGTACAGAGAAGACAGATGAGCAGACAGACAGAATAAGACTGGGCTTTTCTTCCATATCAATAATTCTATTTGATTTGATTTGGAAAGGTGTATTAAGCATGTACGTGTCAGGACTGTTGGTTGGGAGATGCGTGTTGAACTTGGCGCGTCTGTCCCTGCGCAGAGGAGGCTCTCCCCTCACCACTTCTCTCTATTCTCGTCCTCAGCTCTCACACCTGAAGTGACAGAGGAAGGGTGTGAAGCTCGGAGCAGTGATGAAGGCAGCGCGCCGTGCTGCCTAGCTTGTTTCTCTTCTGCAAAGCGACTGCAGGGCACATTTGGAGAACAAGTCAGAAGGAAAACGTCCAAAGGGAGGGGGTGCGCGCATGTGACAGGCTTTTGGACATTTCCATTTATACCATTCGGGCAAGGGAATTGAATCTCTCCATCGGGAGCTGCCTTTTAAAAAACATATCACCGGCTGGCTTTTTCAATTGCACGCCTCGTCCGTCGCCTGCGGATCGCCACAGCACCATGCGAGAAGGAGAGACGCGCCCTGTGACATGCTGAACGACTCTCCGACTCTCCTGCTGGCTCTCACCGCGGTGGCCGGACTTCTCCAGCGATGCCAAGGCTGGAGCGACGAAGACCTCCTCCTGCCGCCCATCAACTCCTCCAACAGGTTCATGGCCAACCTGGAGGTGGACGTGCGGTTCTCCAAGAGGTCTGTGGAGGAGAGCGAAGCCTCGCCCGACGCCTCCTCCCTTCAGACTCTGTCCCAGTGCAACGTGAGCGTCCAGAGACTCCTGCCCACATCGCTGGTGGCCCGCTGGGACAGCAGCTTCGGCTTCCAGTGTGATGTGCTCATCTACACCACCAATAACCACGGGAGGGCTTTTTTCTCCGCGTCTTTCAACAGGGCGATCTCGCCTGTCGTCATCGAGCACCTGGGGGTCACCGGGGGTCAGCAGGAGTTGCGGTTGTGCGTGGGCTGCGGGATGTCCCGGTACCGGAGGTTCAGTCAGGGCAGGTCGAGGGGCCAGCAGACCGGGGATCAGGTCACTTTCTGCTGCGTGGATTTCAGCCTCGACGAGCTGAAGGGGGACAAAAGTTGGAGGTTGAACAGAAAGCCCATCGAGTCGACACTTGTGGCTTGTTTCATGACACTGGTCATCATTGTGTGGAGTGTTGCTGCTCTCATATGGCCAGTCCCGATCATTGCAGGATTTCTGCCCAATGGGATGGAGCAGAGGAGACCGAGATAATTGAAATAATCTTTATTATAAATAGCCTGTGCTGCCTATACTATAATTGTAGCCATTCAACTGAGTGAATGATTGAGGAGCTTGGAGAACTTTTTGATCAAATGCTTTAGTTTGGGGTGTTCTTTAACCCTTATTAGACCTCCTCCTCATTAGGACAACCAAGGTAAAGTATGGTGGCTTATACTAGCCAATAGTAAACTATACTGGGACCAAAACCAATGTGTTTTGTATACTCTTGTAGGCCTTCCTATAGATTATGTCTGCGTAAACTGTGCAAACGTTTCTCCTCTTTAAACAGTGTTTGTATAGTTTTTAATCTTTCTAGAAAGTTTATGCCTTATCCCATGTGTAGGACTTTTGCACTGATAACTGAACTTCAACGTGTGCCGTCACATATATAACCTATATATGTTCAAAGTAAATGTAATATTTTTTCCCCAATACATTCTGAAAAATAGATGTTGTTTATGACTGACTGAGAGGGGGGTTCAATATTTATATTGTTAGATTTATAATGTCAGGTTCAATATGCGTGCTTATTTGTATTCATGTTCAACTGGTTTCAATGAAAATAAAATTGATTATAGGCTATACCTCAGATTCTGTCTGACCTGTTCTCTGTAGCCTAAATCAATTTACTTCAGACTTATTTTAAGTGAACAAAGCATGTGATCCAAAGTTGAAAAGCTCTGAGCCAAAACTGTCAGTCTTTGAAAAATATACACTTTGTATTAAATTAGGTGCACCTAGGTACAGCTATGCAGTCTAATACAACATTTCTGCAATAAATCCCACTGTCATGAAGGGTATAAAGTTCAACTTTGTTGAAACTGTTGTAGAGAAGATTCAACTATGAGCATTGTGGAGGTTGTAGTTTGTTGAGCTGTACAGGGGGTGGTGTATCTGTTATTTAGCCTACCCTCATTGATTTAAATGGGATGGACATAATAAGAGAAACGGCTGTCGGTAAAACGCAGTACAACTCAACAGCACCACAAACTGCAGCCTTCAAAATGAGCATGAAGTTGTATTTTAACATCATATGAGGTGCAGAATGAACCTTTAACTTATGGCCACAAGGGCTCTTCTGTACCCATCACTAATTATGTTCAATTTGTAATTAAGTAAATTGTGACCATAACTAAATTAAGCAAGTGTCACATATTACCATGTTTGACACAGATTTTGTAGGCTTATTATCTCATAGAAGACCTATAAATGCCTGGTTATATGACCAAATACAATTTTACATATGTTATACAGTTAGTTTATTTCAGATATTGTTTTATGAGGTGAAGAAATTTAATTAGTACTTTAGTGTAAGAGTAAAAGTGTTAAAATATTGATAATGAGGAGTATTTTAATGCTGTAGCTGGTTCAGGTAATGCCACATGCTTAGTTTAACCCACAGCGCATCATACTACACATTGTGTAAAATCTGTCAGGGTCATCTCTCTGTCCCTTCTCACTTTATGCTGCTCAGTGTAGATAAGGGTTTGGATAATTACTCTTCATGTGCTGCAAATGGACTGTTTTAGCTCTGCAACATCAAAATGTCCAGACACTTGCCTTGCTTTACATGTGATGTGGCTTGCTCAGTCAAGAAAGACTTTATTATCCGGATTTGTCAACCAAACTGTCGCTGACTAACCAGTTTGTGAGGATGACACATCCAGGCTGACTCAGCAAATAGCAATCAGTGTGGGTGTTTATCTGTAAAAGTAAGCTTTTAATACTAGTAGCCTACAAATTAGACAGCAACACTACATGAGCATTATAACCATCATGAAGTGAGGATTTATTGGAGGACTGTTGATTTAGACTGCATAACTTTTTAGCTGGGTGTATAATCTGGCAAATGAGTGTGTAATCACAACAAAGAAAAATACAATTAGAGAATTAATTTTCTTTTAAGGAAATTCATTTTTTTTTAATATTTCTGCACTGGGAAGCTACAAATTCATGTTGACCTGTGCTTTAATATCTTGGTATCACTGCACCATTTACAGGATATAATTAAAACAATAGTATATACTTTGTTTGGCCTTTTAACTGTAAATAAAGATGTGCTGATTTTTATTTAGCAAAAATAACTAAACTGCAGTGATTTTTAGCGGTTGAATATATTTTATGTTTTGTAAATTACGAATGAACCGCGCATGAACTCTGTACCTGCCAAAATGGCCGACCTGGCCACGCCTTTACATTACCTGGCGCCCTACACTCCCTTGCTGCTGACACGCTCGCACATACAGGAAGTGGAGGAGTTTGACGTTAACGAGAGGAAAATGTGGCGCACGAAGTTTGCAGCTGTGGACGAGAAGCTATGAAATCTGAGCGGATCGCCATTGATTTCTCTCAGGATCAAAGTTGTAGAACTACACTGTAGGACACAATGTCCTTATCAGGAGTCACTCTTCAGATTTTGCTTCTTACAGTCATGGTTTTCACTGTGTCAGGTAAGTTACAGCTTAATTATTTACCAGCAGGACCGATTTTCCCTGCAATGTTGCTGAGGTGGAAGAAATGCTGTTTAAATATGGACACTGATTATTCCTCAAATTATGCACATGGCAGAAGTCTGCCCCCGAGGGCATTGTGTCAAGAAGCCTAACTACTTGGTTAGATTTAGGCACCAAAACTCCTTGGTTAAGTTCAGGAAAAAAGATAGACAGAAAGCCTTTCTGCCAGAAAGCCCTGGAGGCATGCTTCTCCCACATGCTCAAATTATAGGACATTATTATTGAGCTGTTTAGTATTTCTAAGCTGTTATTAGTGTGCTGTTTACTGCTAATACAGCTGTGGATGAACTTCTGGGGCCTGAATGACTTTAATGAGTGTACTGATTAGGTTTTGACAGAGTAAATGGAGTTGTAAGGCAGAATCAGGGTGAGAACAAAAGAAAGGACCTTTCAGTGTGGAGTTCTTGTTAGACTGATCTGAGCGGCTTTCTGTTATTTGTCCAACAGTAAACCTCATCAACCAAAAGGTTTGCAGAGCTAATCTGATGTGTCACATGTCAGATGATAGGTTGTGTCTGTTTTGTCCACTTAAGTGAAATAACACAGTGTGAAACAGGAAATGTGAGATGCAATAGAGAGTTGACATTAGGTGTATGAACATGGCTGCGATTGCTCAGTACAGGCCTGGATAGTCATAGAAGAGAGAGGAGCCAAGCCGTCAGCCTCATCTCTCAACACAGTTAGTCACTGTGACTTTAGCAAATGTAAGAGTATATTTAATTTGTAGCAAGACTTCTTAATATTCAGTTTTTTTTTCAGGACTGGAAATCTAGTGTTTTTTGCTGCACATGCTGCACATTTCTTCCTTTTCCAAATTTTCGTGCTTTGTGTTTTTACCAGGGGTCCAGAAGCTGACCATCACCCCTGACAGAGGAACCAACTTCAACATCAGAAGCAGCAGTCAGCCCAAAGGTTGCAACGTGTGCACCGGAGCAGGACGCTCACGACGATGTAATACATCCCTTCTGCTAAGAGACAACACTCCTGTCTCACTGGAGTTTGAATGCTCCAGACCTCAGGATGTATTCAGTGTGGAAATTGTGCGAAATATAGGTAAGAGCACTGCAGTCTCTCTCAAGGTATTGTGATCTTGTATCTTGCTGAACTAATACAGTGTGGGCAGGTTTATTGGTTGTAAAAGTCATCTGTTAATATCTCTTCCCAGAATGTACCACAAAGTCATGCAACAGCCACATCATCCAGGCTGACTCGGGCTCGCTTCCGTTACTGGATTTTGACCGCAAGTTCACCTGGAACCTGAAGGCCTCGGCGCCGAAAGCATTCAACATAGACTTCAGCAATACGGGTCTAAGACAGATTAATCCATCTGAGAGATGTCCAGACAGACACAGCTACACCCTCCAGGCCTTCCAGACTACGGGGAATGTGGCCGTAGGGAAATACTGCAGAACGGGAACTATCCGTAGTGCCCAGATACTGAATCAAGGTAGCTTTTCTGTGGATGTCCCAGCTGGACAGAAACTCCAAAGTGGCCAGTTTGACGTGTCTGTTGGGGAGGAAATCAAATGTGAGTTATTTAAAATTGAATAACTTCTCTGTCTGGTGTCTCGTGTGTCCGACATCACATTATGTGACTGTTGTACGTGTTTGTTTTTTCCCTCATAGCCCTTGCCAAAATTACACTGACGTTACCAAAAGGGGCCTCATCGTCGGAGTTGCTCTCTCCAAACTACCCGGATAGTTTTCCTGACGACGGCGTGATGGAGTGGTACTTTCAGGTGCCGGAGAAGCACAAGACAGCTGTTCAGCTCTTACAGCTCATACAGCCGCGATGTCTGAAGAAGGACACCGCAGTGGAGTACCAAAGCAAAGGGAGAGTGGCGTCGGTGCTGAGGCTGACAGACCGCCAGCCGGAGCAGAGTCAGGGAAACTTCTCCCTGATGCTGAGGAACTGTGAGATGGACAGAAGACGTGCTGCTTCCCCTGGACTGTCCCTGACCCTTAAGGTGTCTTCAAGTGAAAGTTCACCAGGTTGGTACACTTCATTTGCACTTAATGCTACCATTTGGCTTCGAAGACGTCACAGTTTTAACTTTTTACTTCTGCAAAGATGGTTATGTATTTATATGTTATTCATCTCAAATATTTTTTGAAATAAAGTAGACAGAGAGTCATTGAGCCAGAGAAAGGCAGAGAGTGTTTCAGGTCTTTGTTTTGTTTTCCAGCCCACAACTGTACTGTTTTGGGTCACTCTCACAACTCGCAGCAGTGTTGTTTTAATCCGCAACTGTTCTAGAGCTCTAAAAATCCACTTTACAACACCGGCTCAGCACCAAAAAGCAGATGGGCAAAGTTAGCGACTAGCTGCTGAACATTGTGGAGCATTTAGCAGCTAAAGAACCAAATATTTCCCTCCCTTAAATGTTGGTAGAGACCAAAACCAGAGCTAAGAGAGTGAATATTGGACTTGCAGTCATCAGGTGGCCAAATGGACTCCAAATGGATATTCATGTTGCTTTGTGTCTGCTGGACATATAAACAGGCAGCTCTGTGCTCACATGTTTAATGTTTAACATGTGTTTACAGCTTATTCTGCTGTCACTGAGTGGTGGAAAAAAATCAAATATTGCTGCTTTAAAGTATTATCTCTGTTTAATCTGTTAGTCTGTCAAAAATAATGACGAGTCACTAGAGCCCAGTGTTTCATCTTGAAATGTCTTACTTAGATCAGTAGACCTACAGTGCCAAATTATTGCATAATGATATGAAATGTAAAAAGGAAAGCTCTTTAGAGCTAACAAAAGAAATATATAGATAACATTGGTTTTGTTTTTGGATGTAGGCGTTTGTGGAGGTTTTGCTGTTCAGACAATATTTCAGAGGATGAATGGTGACTCCCCATTTAATCGTCTATATACTTATTTGGACCCCTATTAGCAACTACCCCCCTTCTCTAAAAAACACCAAACAAAGAATCAACAACAATAAAACTTCTGATGACGATGATAACATAATCCTCTACATGTTGCAGTAGGCATGTGATTGCTAAATATATATTATTACAACAAGGGTTCATTTTCTCTCGTCAGTTGTGAAAGAGATTTCCCTGTTTCTTGAGGCAGCTGCAGTTTAGATGAGTAATGAAACCGTGATGTGGAGAGTGGGCTCTCAAGATTCCCTCATCGCTGAGTCATAAATGACAGCAGTGGCGCCTCACCAGGAAACACTTCCTTCAGTCAGGGAATCACGTTCAGCTCTACCAGTCAAATCGAAATTCAAATTCCTGTTGGCTGATATTGTGATAAATGAAGAGCCCACACATTTGCATTTTTGTGTGAGACAGAAAAAAAAGGAAACATGTATGCTCATTTATATTGTCATTCTGTAGTGTTGTGTAAAGTGGATGTGAGCAAAATGGAGGGCCTTTCTCTTCACATCGAGAAGCTGAGACCGGCCTCTTACTGCGAGATGAAAATAAACTCCGTGCTGAAAGAGAAGATTACAGTCACATCACACAGTGACCTGACGTTCCAGGACTGCCTTCCTGAAGACGTACAAGTCACCGCCGTGGGAGTGATGGGTAAATGCAGATTTGAGTGTTTACTGGGGGGCTGTCCTGGGCCTAGAATATAAGCCTTTAAGAACCATTTCTTTTATATACATAAATGCTCTTCTTGGAAAGACTATGGCCTATCATGTATGTACGATTTAAAATACCATTTTATTGCAACCTTGAATGAACTTTGTATATTATTCAACTTGATTTCTGCACTTTTTCAAGATCGTGACTGACAACATTCTCTCTGGATGATGAATAATATAATTTCTTACCCCAAACATTTTCTGTCCTTAAGTCAGACAAAACAAGACCTTGAAAGTAATTGAAGAGTCTTTGGATCTGATGTGAATATTAGAAACCCGAGTTACACCAAGTAGTTCACCTCACAGTCTAAGATGCAAGTTTTGTGTGTTTATTAAATGTTTATATACTGCTTATAAATGTAAGTAAAGTGTTAATTGCATTCATTGCTGTAGCTCCTAAAGGTAGAAATTCATTCTCATCTCTGAACCCCTCTTGATTTAAATGACCTGTGCTTTCATGTCAGAGTGTAGTCAACTCAAAGAGTGCCCGAAGACTCCGGCCCGTCTGTCGTTGCCTCTGCTGCCGACCTGCCTCCCTGCCAATCTGAGCAGTGTGACCTGGGCTCTCCGCCCTCCTCAGCACGGCACCGTGGAGCTGACCTCTCCCACTGGGCCCCTCAAGCAGTCCGTACCGGGGCAGCCGTGCAATGACAGCATCATTATCAAAGTGACTGAAGACGGTGGCACTACTGTTGGACACTTCTGCACTCAGGGATCAATACAGATGGTCCAAATCCACACCAATGTGTCTGTCACTGTGTCCGGCATAGGGGGTGAAGCACTGAGGACGTCTGGCAAGGACGTGCTGAATGCCAGGTTGAAAGAGGAGATATCAGGTAACAAGCAGCCTCAATTGAATAAAATAACTAAATGAAATAAATGCATTTTTTCAGTGATATTTAATTTTCTTTTCTTTCTAACTCCTGTTAAGAAAGTTACATATTCACCGTGTCTCCAAAGAGAGACACTCCTGTCCTTTTGGCTACTCCCGGTTGGCCAGTAGGAATGAGGTCGGACTCCACCGTCTCCTGGATCGTCTCTGTTCCGGAGAGGATGGACGCTCACCTGGTGTTTACCAACCTCCGGCAGCCCAAGTGCAGCAGCAGCCACACCGATATCAGGGTGCAGAGAGTCGGCCGCCGGGAGGAGGACTACAGCCGCAGGGAGGATGAAGAGGCCGAGAGTGAGATCACCGTCTCCGATAGCTTCTACCTCAACATGTCCAACTGCATGCCTGAACGAGGGGAGTTCAGCGTCATCACAGAGATCACCCTGCAGAAGAGCAAGAGTAAGAGGACATTTTGCAGGGTTACCTGGTTAGGGCTGAACGATTAAATGCATTTGCGATATTATCGCGATGTGATAAAACGAGATTTTCAAATTGCAAAGACGATTACGCTCTGGTCACATGACACCCAAGAGTAAAGCAGTCTGCAGACGAAGCAGACTTGTTGTTGTACAACGCTTGACAGAAGCTGAATCGACAGAAACTTTAGTGTCACACAGGGAATGAAAGTAGCACCCGCGGGTAACTTTGTGGTGGTGGGTGAAATTGTCGGGCCATCCGCCGCTTTGGCGGACAGGAAAAATACGCAACAGAAAGACGTGTGTAGTGAGGTAAGCGCATTATGAGGATCGGCGCCAGCGTCACAAACACAGCCATCAGTCAGCTCAGGAAATATCTTTGAAGTTTAAAACTAAACGCACAAGTCCGAAAGAGGCCCAGTCTGGCCCGAGTTACAGCCAGTGCGCTGCTCACCAGCATCGGAGGCTGCGGGGGTGAGGAACTCCGGTGTTGTCGGAGAATTACTAAGCTTGTCTGTTAAACACGAGAGGTGTCAATTGGTTTTATTTTCGTTGGCCAACTTTTTAATTGAACCTCAAACTGAGTATTTCTTGTTTGCTTACTAGGATATAGAAAGATGGACTCTGAGATTAAATAACATAATAATCATAACACAGGCCTGACCTACAAGAAAGAACAGTGTATGTTTAATTTATCTAATATTGTCATACTATACACTGACTGAGCATATCGTGCAAAAGTTCATTTATTTCAGTAATTCAACTGAATAGGTAAAAATATATTATAGACTCATTACATGCAAAGTGAGATATTTTAAGCCTTTATGTATTTAATATAATTTCGAATAAAATTAGAATATTACATGAAATCAAAAAAAAAAGGATTTTAAATACAGAAATGTCAGCCCTCTAAAAAGTATAATCATGCATATGTAAGTACTTGGTTTGGGCCCCTTTTGCATGAATTACTGCCTCACTGTGGCGTGGCATGGATGTTATCAGCCTGTGGCACTGCTGAGGTGTTATGGAAGACCGGGATGCTTCAATAGCGGCCTTCTGCTCTTCTGCATTGTTCGGTCTCATGTCTTTCATCTTTCTCTTGGCAATGCCCCATAGATTCTCTATGGGGTTCAGGTCAGGCGAATTTGCTGGCCAATCAAGCACAGTAATCCCATGGTCATTGAACCAGGTGTTGGTACTTTTGGCAGTGTGGGCAGGTGCCAAGTCCTGCTGGAAAATGAAGTCAGCATCTCCATAAAGCTCGTCTGCTGAAGGAAGCATAAAGTGCTCTAAAATGTCCTGGTAGACAGCTGCGCTGACTCTGGACTTAATAAAGTACAGTGGACCAACACCAGCAGATGACATGGCTCCCCAAACCAACACAGACTGTGGAAACTTCACACTGGACTTCAAGCATCTTGGATTGTGTGCCTCTCCATTCTTCCTCCAGACTCTGGGACCTTGGTTTCCAAATGAGATGCAAAATTTGCTCTCATCAGAAAAGAGGACTTTGGACCACTGAGAAACAGACCAGTTCTTTTTTTCTTTAGCCCAGGTAAGACGCTTCTGACGTTGTTTGTTGTTCAGGAGCGGCTTGACAAGAGGAATACGACATTTGAAGCCCATGTCCAAGACCCATCTGTGTGTGGTGGCTCTTGATGCAGTAACTCCAGCCTCAGTCCACTCCTTGTGAAGCTCCCCCACACATTTAAATGGCCTTTTCCTGACAATCCTCTCCAGGCTACGGTCATCCCTGCTGCTTGTGCACCTTTTTCTTCCACACTTTTCCCTTCCACTTAACTTTCTATTAATGTACCTTGATACAGCACTTTGAGAACATCCTGAGGCTTTCCCTCCTTGTGGAGGGTGTCAATGATGGTTTTCTGCACAACTGTCAGGTCAGCAGTCTTCCCCATGATTGTGAATTCCACTGAACCAGACTGAGAGACCAATTAAAGGCTCAGGAACCCTTTGCAGGTGTTTTGGATCAATTAGCTGATTAGAGTGTGACACTTTGAGCCTACAATACTGAAGCTTTTCACAATATTCAAATTTTCTGAGATTTTTAATTTGGTGTTTTCATAAGCTGTAAGTCATAATCATCGAAATTATATCAAATAAAGGGTTGAAATGTCTCACTTTGCATGTAATGAGTCTATATAAATATATTAGTTTCACCTTTTAAGTTGAATTACTGAAATAAATGAACTTTTGCACGATATGCTAAATTTTCAAGTTTCACCTGTAAATCGCAATATTGGTTAAAAAAAAAAAAAAAAATCCAAAATGATGTGTTGATTAGTGACTGTAGCCCAAATATTACCAAGAATCAGGACTAATCCTTATTTCCATTTTTGTGAAGTATAAGAATCAATATTCATTCATCTCCAGGCTTTCAGTGTTTCTTTAAGATATAGACAATATAACATTTGAACAACATTAGATTATAACATTAGAACGACTGTGCACTTAATTTATGTCAGCTTTAATGAAAGTTTGCATTTGTTGTTGTTTAATCTCTTTTAGACTTTCTGCTGACTATCATCCTGAGTGCGGTGGCTGCTCTGGTGGTCATTTTTGTCATCGTGCTGGCAGTGGTCTGTGTGGTGATTAGGTGAGTGCATCTGCTTTTTGTTTTGTTCTTCAGATTTTGTCTTTTTTTAAATTGCTCACTTTTGGAAAGAGTTATTATAGTAAAGACAGTGAAGGTTCTAACATAGTGTTTTAGTAAACCTCACGTCTGCTTCAGTCTGCTACAGATTTTCCTCCATTTAAAATGTTCTTACATAACTGGTCAGCAGATATATCTGTAATAGATGCTGTATATGAAGAGCTCATGGTCTTGATTTACCTGCCAAACAGGAAGAAGAAGAAGGAGCTGACCCATCAAGTGTCCATATACAATCCAAACGGCTCCGGCTTCCTGCCAGGACACAACGGCTTCCCAAAAACATGCGAGGACAATGAGTCCCATGTGTACGCTTCCATTGAGGACACGCTGGTCTACACACACCTGCTGAGAAAGGGGGTAGAGATCGGCATCTACGGAGAGTTAGACACATCCCGGCCTTTCACAGGGCACACAGACTCACAAAAGCCACTGATCTCTGAAGATGCAGGTGTGGCCGACGTGCAAGTCGGGCCTAACCAGCAGTTTCGGACTCCTCTATAGAGGCTCCTCCGCTTCCCGAAAGGCCTCCGAGCCACGGCCAACAGCTGATGGACAATGAGATTTACCAGACTGAGGACCAACATGGAGAGGAACGTTGTCTGGATCTGGGGCTGCGGCTGGAGCCAGAGGGAGGGAACTGAGCACCAATGTGGATTCAGCTTTCTGCTTTTCTTTTGACCTACTGATGTTCATCCTTCCCAGAAGCCTTTGTTTTTTCTCTTGAGTGTTGTTTTGCACCGAAGCCAGGTACACAAGATAACCCTCTTTTAACCTGCCTGCAGCTGTTACCTTGTTTAATCTCAGATGAAGAAAGGCACATTTGGAAAGCAGCTCATAATAATCCTCTTTATACCAACGTTTTGCTGCTACAAAGAGATCTCGTGTTGCTTGTAGGCAATTCATATTTTTCATTTGAGACATTTTGTACATATTAAGGCCGTTTACACAGGAGCAAACCTGCTGTTTACATGCTGAGATTTCCATGTTTTATCGGTAGACCGGTGAGCAGAGAGGACTCCACTGCTGTTCCAATATAAAGCACTTTTATAGCATCATCAAAACATGATTGCGTGTATTGCAGGAGATTGCAGCAGCATTGTATGTGCATCCAGTATCATCTTTCTGTTTTTTATGATCGCTATAGCACCTGCTGTGAGGAATTCTACATACAGCATCATTACACCATAACTGTGCCTTACAGATGTCCTGTCGCACACGACAGTCCTGCTAATACAATTTAGGATCTTAAGAGTTGTTTTCAGCAATATTTTGGCCCAGGGATGAATTAAAAAATGGGTGCTTTTGTTCTTTTTGGACCCATACACATGGGAATCTCAAGACTGGTCTGCTGCTGGCTAAGTGAACTGTTTCTCTGCTCATACAGAGACTTTTTTGTTTTCTAATTGTGTCTCATGAAACACAGACCCCTGTGGGGGTCTGCTGGACTATAATGACATGAACTAAAACGCTTATAAACTCTTTGCAGTTTGCAGTCTGTGAGCCAAAAGTTACATTCACAAAGACATTTCAGTATCTATTTTGGTTGACTGAATTTTGTTATTAATTACAGGGAGCTTTTAAAAAGGAGACTGTAGGAGATGTATAAGTTAACGTAAGTGCGATGACTACTCAAGACCCTTTCATGTGCTGTTGTGAAGACTGTTGGGTATGGAGCAACAAACTGATCTAGAATGTACTGGTATAGACCTAATAAGTAATAAGTAAGTCCTTACTAAGTCCACATTTTTAAAAATTGAACACGTCCATTCACTGGGATAAAAATAAAATTACACAAGTTATTAAAGTTTTTAGATGACCAGAAAGATCCCAGAATATTGACTTTTATCATTTGAGGAAAAATTGGGTTTTACAATCAAACTCATGAAAAAGACTGAAAAATTGTGTGTTGTCTTGTCTTGTAAAGGCTTGTTGCCTCATGCGTTTCAGAGAATGTACTGCAGAGGGAGACAAAGTTCAAAGTCCATTCTCATTCCTGAGGAAATAAAGTGTCCTTTTGCTTACTACAAAACTGTGCAAGATTTCTGTGAATGTGAATTAA